TTGTTCCGCTTATGTGCCATCAAATGTCTCTATTAAGCGACTGTCAACTAATGCAGCTATCAATGCGAAGCAAAGTGGGTCAAAAACTTCGAGAATTTATAGTAACATCGTGATTTTCCATGTGCCTTATCTCGAAACGCGTTTGTTTACTTTTCTAACACGTGTATCCTAGATACTGCGTTAAAAAATGAAATAATTGTGTGAAGATTGCTGTGGAAGCCTCCGAAAGAGAAAAGGTTTTTTTTTATTCGCCATTGACGATCAATAGAAAGTAATATTTACCTCTTGAACAACTTATCAAATAGAAAGCAAACGGCAAAAAGGGCAAAAAAAATTGCAAGCATAAGTGCAGCCTTGTGCAAACTGACAATATATTTAACACTCTATAACAAGAGGGCTTAATCAGTCCGGTGAGTTTAGTGCATCAGCTTAAATTTAACCTAAATCTTTTTTTTCCAATACGATTTCCCTGCAAACAGTTATGTATGTTTGAAGAACAGCGCCGAAGTTATTGAGGGTGCAAATTTACGAATGCAAATTTATTCCACAGAAATGACCAATCAATGGAGGACTGAGTGCTGTTGTGACCTGCCTGGTGCTGTTTATCATGATGGAAGACGCCAAACCTGTCCCCGCTGGAAGGGACTGCATAGGGAAGAGGATAAATGCACTGGATGAAACATGCATGGACAAGTGCAAACGTTAGTATACTTAAAGGAGCCCTGGTACGATATTTTGGCACTTTTTCGTGATGTCCAAAAGTGCCCTCAAACTGATGGAAAACTTGAACTGCTATATATTTAAATTAGGGTCCAAACCAATTGTTTCAACTTTATGGTCTCAGATCACTTCTATTGATAGTAATTTTGGATATCCTTTGATGGAAATATTTTTTGGGGCTTTGACTTTTCAAACTAATGTTCGCAAATAATTATCCTTTATTAAGTAAATTGCAAATTTTACTTACAAGAGATACACAACTGCAGAACTAACCATATATATACAGTAACTAATGAGACCAAACCAACGTTGGTAACTGTAAATTAGTAAAGAAGAACAGCTTTTGCAGAATAATACAATTTCCAAAGAACTGTGACAATTTCAGAACACAAGTTAGGTAAAACATTAAAAATGGCTGGACGTGTGGTTATTTCTCTAGCCTCGTCAGGTGATATACGTCAGCACATAATGACTTGCCAGGGAGAAGAGAGTCTAAGTTAATACCTGCAAATTACGTTTCACACATTCCAATTAGGACTTAACATTAAAAATTTATATTTTATTTGAAGTTTGCAAGTTCGACTTTGAAGATGGAATACTCGGTGGTTGCGTTAAGACCGGTACAGTGTTTGAAAGCCAGCCGACCTATGGCGATAACCCTTCAGAGCGTAACAGAGGACAGCCCTGCCAAACAACAAGGTGACTATTGGATTGGAGGGTTTGAAGACAGGCACACTCCGGATAATAAGCCTAAAGAAATTCAGGGAGACCGTCCCACCGGAACTCTTACTTCCCCATTCTTTGAGGTAACGGGCAAATATATCACATTCCTGATTGGAGGAGGCCGTGATGCCAATCTGATTCATACAGACCTGATAATTGACCGCGAGGTAAGAAATTATAGTGGTAGAGCCTTTTAAGTCAGTCCAAACGGCTGTTATAGTTCTAGGCATTTATCTCTGGTTTCTTTTGCATGAAGCGGTTAAGAGTATTGCTGCTTCCTCTGGATGGGATGCTAGTCCTCCCCATAGTACTCCCCAGCATTCTGTCAGGTTGCCCCAACACCTTGCTGGCCCCCATTTATACTCCTAGGTAGAACACAGCGTACAACATAAAACCGGGCAGGGTCCGCATACGGCCAACTCGAACTGTAATTCAGTTAACTAATAATGTATCAGGAAAAGCTTGTAAGCCATGCCTCTCAAATAAGCAGTGGACACATCGGATTCTACTTTCAAGAAGCAATAATTCAAAGTGGCAGATGAATTATTTTTTAGTTTTAATTTTTTAAATCTATTTTCTCGCTCCCGAGATTTTTTTTATCTTGTCAGGCATGATTAGATGGAATCCTCTGTTGTGTAGATGTTGCTTGTGCCAGACACATAACACATGCCGGGATCGGACATAAAACTACCTAGAGTACATATATAAATCACAAATATAAACAGGTAGACAGTGTTGCCCTTTTCAACAAATAAAAGCTAACCGCTAGAGAACCAAAGAAAAAATAACCGCAAGCAAGCAGGAGTTTCTCTTTATTTGATATCTATACAAGCAAACTATTGTTCAATGGATAATGACCTAAATAACTGACTCAATTTTTCTTCCCTTTTTTAATTTCTTGCTTTATTTTTACTAGTCCGGCATGTTCCGGGTGGTTCTGAAATATGTCGTCTTCTTGGATTTTCGATGCCCGGATATATCAGAATAAGTTGCATCGCTTTTCAAATATATTTACTCTCACGCTTCAGGTGTAGAAGACTGTGACCGGTAAATGCACCGAGACAATGGAAAGGGTGACCTGGGATGTCAAAGAGTTCTATGGTCAAAAGGCACAAATCAGACTGGTCGACAACAGCTCTGGTGGTTGGGGTCACATCAACTTTGATGATCTGAAAGGTGACATCACTTGAGCCTAGGGCAAAATTTCGTTACATTCAACCGGTTGCGAAATGCGATACCAGAGCAGTATAGGAAATTGATAAAGATACGGTTATAGTAAAATAAGTCAGAGTAAGGGTTCTAACCATTTAAAGTGCTAAATGCTTGTAAGCTCTTTAAAAGGTGGAAAATAAACTTACTTTTAAACTTCATGGCCTTATTGTTATTTTGTGAGTAAAAATGAAAGTGTTGCCATCAGATAGTTTGTGTTATGGGAAATACGAGATTGGTGTGAGATTGGCAAGAAATAATAACTCGATCGAGCAGGTTCCCTTTTAAACTGCATATCCTGATATTGGGTTGCCTCCAAGCACCAGTTATTTTCGTTAACGTTATCAGCCATAGTTCATTTCCAACTGACGTCAACACCGCCACACTGGATGACCTCTAACAAAGGAACTCGAATTACTTTCATTTCACTATGCCATTTAAAAATCTCCGGAATGGTTGCAGGCCGACCTATACCGTTTAAAATAAAGCACTTGATGTTTGTAAGCTCCTTAAAATGTTGGAAATAGACTTACTTTAATGTTCACCGACCTTATTTTGTGAATGAAATGAAAGTGTCGCGACCAGATTCCTTCAGTTCGTGTTTTGGGTCGAATTTTGGGAAATGCGACATTGACGTTAAATTGCCAAAAATCTTACTCGGGCAGGGATGCTAAAATTTTTTGATAAAATATTTGGGAATCCAAAAAATAGGTAATTTTCCGGTTCCTCCTGATTTCCTTATAAGAGACCTAGTTTCTTTGACGTTTAATCAATGAATTGGTGAATCGATTTAAATGTAAGTCACAAGATAATTTAATTTTTACAGACTTTATTCATAAGTTCAGGCATACATTTTACTTAAAATCACATCACCAGAATGATCGATTGAACCACACCGATAAAGCTCACTAAGCCAGGGTAATCCACTATTTCTCTCTGCCAATATAGTTTACCTACAATGTCAAAATTAGGGTAATATCGATCACAACATTTGACTAAGAAATGAGTCGTTTTCATTCCTTCCTTTATGGTTAGATATAACTTCCTTAGCGTTGTTCATTTTTTATCGGCACTCTCCATAACGGACAAGTTAACTTCCCTGTTTCCTTGTTTGTTGGCTTCTTTCCTAACGCAATAGAGAAAATGGACAAAGGTGCATAATGCACGTGAAGATCAATTGTTCTGGTCATTGTATCATTACGCCTGGTGTTTGGCGACGTACTCGTTGCCGCGTTGCCGTTGTGTAAGGTCCCTATTTATTTACTACCAACGTCCTAGACAGGAAGGTAACCGATAGTTCAATCAGATTTACAGCTGTTTCATAACCCAGAAAATTTAATTTAAGCCTGAAAAAGTAGTTAAGATCACTTCGGGTTGGTCTTTTTTATTGATTGATTGATTGATCGATTGATCGATCGGTTGATTGATTGATTGATTGATTGACTGATTGATTGATTTAGCAATTGATTGATTGATCGATCGATTGATCGACCAATTACTTATTAAAACATTCATATATTATAATCATGATCAGTGATCAGTAGTTGGGTGAATTACATGCCTCAGCACTGCTTACAGCTCAACTTGCAGTATGCCTTCATGTAAGCTGGAGTTTTGCTGCATTCCCCAAGTTTCGCCCACCCGGGGCAACTTTTATGCGAATCTTTGCACACAGGAACTGCCGAAAATTAAACAAAAGTAAGTGTAAAGGTTAGGAAAATAATCTTCGACGTCTTGTAAGACTTCCTGATCTCGACTAACTGACGGCCTGTCTGACTGTCTGACTGGCTGCCTGGCTGCCTGGCTGACTGACTAACTGCCTGGTTGCCTGGCTGCCTGGCTGCCTGGCTGCCTACATGCCTGTCTAACTGACAGACAGACTGAATCACTAATTGACTGACTGATAAACTAGTTTAATTATTGAACTGACGGATGCTGAACCGTTGGAAGTAATGGCTTCTTGTTTTCCTGATTTGATTGACCCAGTCAACTATTTACAGTGTTCTAGACCGTATGGCATACACAACACAATACGGTAATTGCTTAATTGTCTAGGCATTTTAAGTATATTAATTTATGCATTACCCTTAATTCAAAGTTTAAGTCAACCGTCCCAGTTTTTCGGGTAAACACCGAATGTCAAAAACAACACAAAACAAAGAAAAAACCATCAGAATTCTTGTGTGCTTACCGCAGACGCCGCAGCTTGCTCGACAGTTAACTTTCATGAAGACCGTATTCTTCTGACACTCCCCATTGTTAGCATATGCCGGGCACAAGGCTTTGTGTTTAGCACTATCCTGACAACTAGGACTGGGGAGAGTGACTCCTGCAACAGTTAGGCAAATAATTTAGAGTACTTAGATGTTTTGAGAAACACTCCCGTACTATAATGGAGTGTTTTTCTAACTCGTCAGCACGAACGCTTCATCTGTTTAATTTTTATCAAGCTACCTAAATAACGGCTCTCAACATTTAATGTATAAAGAATGTGACACTGTTCCAAGCAATTTGATACCGATGTTATAAACAATGTTTGTGAGATGTAGTTTTCGGCTTATTGGCGACTTTGCCACCCGGAAATTTTGCAATTTTGGAAAGCCAACATCTCCTTCTGTATTATAACCATATATCTTAGTTAACTACTAACTTTCACTAGCTCTTAAAATGTCTCGAGTTAAACTTAATATAATTAATTGTTTTTTTACGCAAAGGGAAAGTTTCCATGACTTATTTTAAGTCCATGTTTAGAATAGACCACTTTACAGTTGTCTGCTCAGTGACCTGGCCTTTGGATGGAAGCGAGGGTGGAGTTCACCTTGTTTTGATACAGACTTTACTGCTTTTGCTGTGTAAAATAAGTTGTTCTGATGCTAACTAGATGCATTTACATGACAAAAGAAGTGAGGTCTGTATCAAAACAAGGTCATCTCCAGCTGGGCTGCCATCCAAAGGCCAGGTCACTGAGCAGACAACTGTAAAATGGTCTATTAGTACATCTAGAGGTCTAGGGATCTAGAGGGTAAAAAGGTAGGGGTGGGGGGAGGCATAAAAAGCCTAGTATATACACGCTTACATAAAAACCTAACATCATAATTACAATTAAATAGTACTCGCAATTTTCCGGGTCACACTTGGATCTCAAATAATCAGCTCACCACAAGTGTTACAGCTTTTTCGACAGTTAACTTTCATGAAGCCAGGGTTCTTCTGACACTCGCCGTTCTTAGCCCAACCTGGACAATGGACTTTGTGTTTACTGTTATCCTCACAACTGGAACTGGCTCCTGCAACAGTTAGGCATAAGTCAAGGATTTTTAATTATTTTGAGAAACATTATCCCCTACTGGTATCATAAAGGAATCGTTTGTGATTCATCCACGAAAAAATCAGCTCTGAAAATAATACGTATTGAAAGGGTATGACATAATTAACTGTTCCAAGAAAAAACACAAACTCAAAACACTATGGGCTTTTTGCCAAATGGAAATTTGCAAAATTTGAACGCCAATATAACTTTTATAGTGTCGCAAAGAACTAAATATTTCGCAAATTACTAAGTTTTAAAAGTTAATAATTTTATAAAAAAATGTTATCATTTCTCTGCAAAGTTGTGTGCTGATGAGACCAAGTGTCAACATTGACGTTGAAAGAGGAATCCCCTTTAGATCGAGGCACAAGGTTGGCCAAGTCTAGGAAATTACTGCAATTTCTCTGTCGCTCTGAAACAATATGATAATAAGTTACTTTGGAATACACTTCACTCGTTCTTCGTAATTCATCGTGCTCTTTCCCAGCCTCAACTGCCGTGGTTCTTAATTTCTAAATATGTCGTGACAGATCTCGTTTCAGCCTAACATTTTAAGTCCTGGATAGAGATAAGTTATCTAAGGTTTTGTAATCGTTTTGTAATAGAAAATATATTTTTAACGACAAATACACTTTTTTATGTATATTTACCTTGGCAAACCTTGCAACTTTTCTTACAGTGTCGCTTCATCCAGACTTCGTTAGAGGCGCATTCTCCTTTAGCCGCCCAAATGTGACATGTGTGATAGTCATCTTGACATTCTGATGGAAGATAAAAGAAGATGACCAAAAATACGATAATAGATGATGCATGGTAGACCTTGAGACTTGCCTGGACGCCGGGACCCTTATTTGCAAATCCTAGACTTCAAGGAAACGAGAAGTCGATGTTCGTCACAAAGGTTACGAATTTTTGAAACCGAATTAAAAGTTTCCGAGACCCAAGATTCCCTAGCTAGATTTTCCTAGCTTCAGTTATTACATTGGTAAACGTGCATGTTTAAGCCAACACTGTATCTCTTATCAGATGCTACTCAATTAGAACTACGTCTTCGTGTTTCCGTGAAATTTTTAGCTGTTTGGTTATTTTCATTTACTGACCAAAAAATACGTATATTAAATAACGCGGTATAGTTAAGTAACAAAATTGATGGAGATTGAGGAGGAGGAGGAGGAGGAGGCGGAGGAGGAGGAGGAGGGGGAGGAGGAAGAGGCGTCGGTAGAGGAAGAGGTGGAAGACGAAAATTACAGTGAGGGTTACTGGTAATGTAGGTAATAACAGGTTGGAAGTAGTCAAGGAAGACAACACTTGAACTGAATTGTGGTGGTGTTAGTGCTGGTGGTGGAGAAGGAAAGCAATGGAATGCTGATTGTCTTAGCGGTGCGGTGGTGTAAGTGAAGGAAGAGTTAACAATAGGTTGCGGAGGAGATTTAAAGAGGAGTAGGAGAAACAGAAGGAGGAGGAGACGAGTGAAGAGAAGAGGAGAGGATAGGAAAAGAGAGCAGAGCAAAGAAGAAAAGAGTGGGAAAGCAGAGTTAGAGAGGAGAGGAGAGGAAAGGAGCGCAAAGCAGAG